TTCAGAAAAAAATAAAAAACGCAAAGGCATTTCTTTAGAAACAAAAATAAAAGTTTTGGACTATCTAGAGCAGGGAGCTGGCAAATGGCACAAATGTGGGAAATAGGCTTGGACTCAGTGAATCTGCAGTGCGGACAATAAAAAAAATGAAAATGCAATTAGAAAATCTGTAGTTTCAGGCAAAAATGTAAATGCGAAGAAAACTTCATACTCAAGTAATGTTTTTATTGAAGAAATGGGAAACATATTAATAGTTTGGATTGAGGATCTCAACCAGAAACGAATCCCAGTTGATACTACAACAATGAAACAAAAAGCTCTACGTATTTTTAATCGATTAACATCGAACCAAGAAAACAAAAACGAATTTTCAGCTAGTGGTTAATGGTTTTCGAAGTTTATTGAAAGACATAATTTTCATAATTTAAAAACTAAGGGTGAAATTGCTTCAGCTAATAGTAAAGCTGTGCAGGACTATCCACCAAAGTTATTAAAATTTATTCAAGAAGGTGGTTACACGCCAGACCAAGTTTTCAATGCGGACGAAACCGGCCTATTTTGGAAGAGGTTACCAAAACGAACATATGTGTCTAAGACCCAAAAATCATTAGGTGGCTTCAAAGCTGCAAAGGACCGTGTGAAGTTTTTATTATGTAGCAATGCTTCTGGTGACCGCATGATTAAACCGTTGTTAGTAAACAAAAGTCTCAGGCCGCAAGCACTAAAGGGCAAAGATTTAAAACATTTACGTGTTCACTGGATATCCAACAAAAAAGGCTGGGTAACTGGAAATATATTCCAAAATTCTTTGTACCAGAAGTTAAAAGTTATTTGGAGAAGAAGAAACAGCCCTTTAAAGCTCTTTTAATAATTGACAATGCACCGGGCCATCCGTTGATTGAACATCCTAATGTAAATATCATTTTCCTCCCGCCGAATACTACATCAATTATCCACCTGATGGATCAAGGCATTATTGCGACTTTTAAAATGTACTACCTCAAAAAAACTTTTCAGTGCATTATGGAAAAACTGGAGGAAAATCCTGAATTGGTCTTCACCGATGCTTGGAAAAATTTTTCTATCAAGGATTGCATCTTGTACGTGTCAAAAGCAATTTCTGAAATAAGGCAACATACGTTAAACGCATGCTGGAAATCTCTTTGGCCAGAATGTGGGAAAAGTGGTATGTCAATCAGAGCATCAATCCATAGTTCTTACTATCGATTCTGATACAAATTCTAGTGATATCAGTGCAGGTCATCAAAATAAGCGGCTAAGAATAATTTCCACTACGGATAATGACAGTGATTAAACAGAATTCAACGGTTTTTTCAATAAATCTACCTATTTTCTAGTTTCTTCTCTTTTATATATGGTTTTTGTTTTGTATTTTTTTATTTTGTTAGGAATGAATAAATCTTAAGTCTGAAATTTGAAACTTATTGTATTGTTTTTAAATATTTTTTGCCCTTATATTTTGTTATACGCGATATTTTTTATATTCGGAACCAATTCGTCAGATAATATTGGAAAACTAACCATTTTTACGCGATTTTTTTTGCGCGATTAGTGGCAGAACCAATAATCGCGTAAAAAAAGGACTGAGCGTACTTGAAATTCGATACAGAGATGGCTTTTTGCGAAAAATCTGCATTGATTGTTTCTTTTATTATTTGAAATTCTTTTTTTTACTCAATACTTTACTGAAATGAAATATTTGTCTTCCATGGATATGGACCAGAGACCTGGAACCAAGTTCGGGTTGCTCGAAATATAAATGATACTTTCTTTCGTAAATATTGACAAAGGTATGATTTGGAGCATACATAGATGGGACGTAGGAATGCATTGTATGTTCGGACTGCAAGTAACTCTAATATGTTGAACTTGAGTGTGAATAAGCATAGATCGGAATTGTGTGGTTGGTTTGCTCCGATGCATTCATATTGAAAAATTCGTAAAAAAGTTTGAGCAGCGGAAAAGTGGCCACACTTACAAAAATGTAAATAAGTAAGCACTTAGATAATATAATAAAACGGTTAATATTTTACTGGAATGTCCGGTACCTCAATTAGAAAGGTGCCGCTGCCCAACGGGTTTATGTCCTCGTAATAATAAAGGTTGACATCACCTCCGTCCAGGAAGTGCGATGGATGGGAAAAGGACGAAAGCGAGTAGGTTCTTGTGACATTTACTATAGCGGCCATATAAGGAAGCGCAAATTTGGTATTGGATTTGTTGTGGAGAGACTTCGTCTTCGAGTGCTGGCATTCACCCCGGTAGATTAACGTCTTGCCACAATCCGCATCAAAGCGAAATTTTTAATCATCGATCGATCTCGTTGAAATAGACGGAAGACATGTCCCCATTATTATTGACGTGCGTACACTCCGAGGACCCAACATCGATTCGGACCATAATCTTGTTGCAGCAAAGATATGCATGCGCCTCCATGTATCGAAGAATACCCGTCAACAAACACGAGGAAACTTCGACGTCGAAAAGCTTCAATCAAACTGCAAACGAAACTATTGGATATTAGAATAGTCGCAAACACAGCTGGAATGATTGCCGTGCCGCAAAGGATGCGACTGACCACAACACGTGCGGGATGGGATAGATAACGAGAGTTAAAGAGGGAAGCAAGACGCAAGAGTGAACATTTCTCCAGCCAGCTGAATGGAGTAAAATTAGAATATCCGGAGATGTTGAACCGAAAACCACAGTCGATGACGATGTGAAAGACGTTCCATTACCTGACCATGAAGAAGTTCTAGTAGCAAGTTTAAGAAACAAAGCGGCTGGAGCTGAAGATCTACCGGCAGAAACATTCAAACGTGGGAGTAAACAACCGAAGAACGTATTATTTTCTTGTTTGTTTTGTTTGTTTCATATATATAGTATAGTATTCAAATTATACGTTGTCATAATTGAGGGTTTGGCTACAACTTTTTTCAACTGAGAGATACCGAACCGCCATTGCTTGAAAGACTAAAACCTACCGTCAAGAAACTGATTGGACCTCATCAGTGTGGCTTGAGACCTGGTAAGTCAACCATTTACCAGATATTCATCATGCGTCAAATCTTGAAAAAGATCCGCGGAAAGAAGATGTAGACCCATCACCCCTTCGTCGATTTTAAAGCCACCTTTGGCAGTACAAATAAGAACTGCCTTTACGCCGCTATGTCTGAATTTGGTATCCCCGCAAAACTTATACGGCTGTGTAAACTGACGTTAAGCAATACTAAAACTTTCGTCAAGAAGGTGGAGGTTGCTTTCGGGCCGTTAAATACTAAACGAGGTTTTAGACAGGGGGATTCCTTATCATATGACCTTTTTAACTTAATGCTGGAGAAAATAATATGAGCCGGAGAGCTGAATAGAGAATGAAAAATCTTTTATAACGGTGTAAAGCTAATGGCGTATTGGTTAATAATGGCATTATTTGCCTCAACAATCGCGTGGTGAGCTCAGCTTTCTCTAGACTGGTTAAGGAAGTGAAGGATGTGGGTCTGGTAGTAAACGAAGGCAAGACGAAATATCTTCTGCCATTACACAAAGTGTCATCGTAGATAACTTGCTCTATCTTGGAACAAGTATTAACACCAACAACAATGTTTTCCTAGAAATTCAACACAGCATCACTCTTGTCAACAGGCGCTACTTTGGACTGAGAAGAAAACTGAAAAGTAAAGTCCTATCCCGACGAACGAGAACCAAGTTCCACAAGTCCTTCATGGTTCCCGTCCTGCTATGTGATGCTTATTCGGCGTTAGGAGTTCTCGAAAGAAAAGCTTTGCGTAAGATTTACGACCCTCTACGAGTTGGTAATGGCGAATACCTCAGCTGATGGAATGATGAGCTATATGAGATATGCGACAACATTGACATAGTTCAGCGAATCAAGAAGTGGATGCGCTGACCAGGTCGTGTAGTCCGGATGGATGCGATTACTCCAGCTGTGAAAGTTTTCGATGCAGTACATGCCGGGGGAAGCCGAGAAAGTGAAAGACCTGGCCCTACTTGGTACTTACGATTGGGGCCAAGCAGCGAGAAAAAAAGTATGAATGGTGCGATGTTATAAATTCGGCTAAAATCGCGTATGCGGTGTCTACGCTAGAAAAGTAACGATAACTAATTTGTTTGCCGTTCTTCGCAATACCAAATATAATTAAAATTGGAAAAAAAAAACAGAAAGCAACACCAACGTGTAGTAGATTTATTTTTTTAATTAAATTGACTATTTTCTATATTTGCTACTTGAACACATCATGAAAAGTTCCAAAAGTAAAATAAAGATATGTGAAAGGAAGATATGCCGAATATTCGATTAAAGGTTTTTTTTGTTGTTTAAAGAAGATATGGCCGATAACTATTAACAAATATATCCGTGTATAAACTCAATGCAGAGTTTGTGCAAGTTGATTAGCTGGTTGATGACGACCCTTTTCCAAGCACCAAATAATGATGAAATGCACCCAAAATCTAACGTCTCCATTTAGCAGAAAAAAATATATGGTGATCTTTAATGAAGATGTCACTAAATCCCTCAAATTACATAAAATTATTTCAGATCCAGATTATGTCCTCATATGGTCCCGGTTAGCGTCCCAGTAAGCGCATATTTTGACGTCGCCAGTATTATCTGAACCAGAGGAAGAAATATAAGACGCTCTTAACTTTGGTAACGTGTATGGAAAGAAAATGTCTGATGAGAAAAACTTGTTTAGTTGGCCACAAGTGGGAGTACATTTTTTCATCTTTGAACCACATAAAAACAAGTTTGATCTTATCAAACATAAGTTCCTAACTTTTTACATTATATTCAATGTAATAAGCACAAAAGTATTAAAATATTGTTGTAATTTAGTTCACAGTTCCTTGAATAAAAAGATAATGTCAAAACCTGATCTATTATAGTACATACGAGTATGAATGGAAACTCAGCCCTTCGGATACGTTTCCGCTATTATAAATAAAGGAGATATCGTGGATTGAATGTTTTGCATGCTTAGATGGTTTTTATTTATTGATATAGGTGTACATACATAAGTTAATTAAATTTTTATAATAACATTTTCAGAGTAAATACTTATGATGCATTATATAGGGCATGCGTTAACCATACTGATGAATCTGTCACGTTTTCATACATAAAAGGCTCTGTCGTTAAGTCACCACATTTTCTACCATAGCCCAAGGATACCAACCCAACTTGGATGTAATGATAGCGTATGTACCCGAATCTTTGATATTTAGCTTTCCGAAATAGAGGGCCTCCAGAATCTCCTCTGCAAGATACCGAATTCCATGCGCTAGCACGAATACATAACTTTGAGTTGTCGATAGTAAAACGAGGGTACACCTGCTTACAACGATCCAATGTTTCCAGTTTCAACATACCTTTTTGAAGAGTATCAACTGGGCGATCTATATTTAGGTTATTTTTTAATATATATGTTTTGTATCTTTTATTACATGTGGATAAGTTAATAAGTTAATTACCGTTTTCTTTTAGTCCCCATCCAGCTAAAACTAAATCATCACCCGGTGTTAACTGATGCTCTATGGATTTAATTGACAAGCAAATTGGCTGAATGTGCGGATATGCTAGAATGATGTTTGAAACTATACAGTTATATGAAATAGTTTTGCAGGGTGAGGTAGATAATAAATTTACACGGCACATCGCCATTTTCAAAAAATTAATTTTTTTGGCAGAAAAGTTTCAATGATTTTGTGTGTTGGTACTTTGTTTTTAAGGTTTAATTGGGTTAACTATTCTTTGCCTTTTAAATAATTTTTTACTTACAAAATGTATTTCGTTTAGTTAAAGATATTACATTAGAAAAACTGTTTATTACTTTGTACGCAAACTCTTTGAAACTTTTTATATAAACACTAGGGAGCGCTTTTTTATCCACGAAATGAAGGATAGGGGTGGGGTATATTAAACCTGCAAGACGGATACTGTTTTCGAATCTTTATAATAATTTATGGCGACCGCGATAGCCGCGTGGTTCGCATGGCGTACGACCATTCGGTAGGTCAAGTCCTGGTCCGACGAAGGAATGTCAACCTCTCCGAAAATATTTATGACATGCAATAAAACTCCTCCATTGGTTGGAAGGCGCATACCAAAAATTGAAGTAAGAGCTCGGCTTCAGCGATGTTCAAAAAATATCGCGAATTTTGTGTTTTTTCGAAAATTATTTCTTTATTCATGAACATCTATTTTGCCCCCTTCAAAGTAATCCCCATGAGATATTATACACTTGTTCAGCTCCTCCTTCGATGCCGTCTTTATCTCGTCAATCGTAGCGCAACGTCATCCTTTCATGGGCCTCTTCAGTTTAGGGAACAAGAAAAAGTCACAGGGGGCCAGATCTAGGGAATACGGTGGCTGCGGCATCATTAGTGTGATGTTTTGGCCAAAAAGTCGCGCACAAGCAACGATGTGTGAGCAGGGGCGTTATCGTGGTGCCAAAGCCAATTTTTGTTCTTCCACAAATCCTTGCGTTTCTAGTGGATTGCTTCGCGCAAATTGGCGCATAACTTGCAGGTTTTACCCTGTGGCAAGAACTCATGATGCACCACACTCCTGCAATTAATTTTTTCGTCTGTTGTTGAAGTGCTCGGGCGTTCGGCACGCTCTTCGTCGCTCACATCTTCTCAGCCTTTTGAGAACATTTTGTACCACCGATAAACGTTGCTTCGGTCCATGGTCCATGGCATTTTTTTGAATAAGTAAAAATCGAAGACAATACAAAACACGTGCAAGCAAAGCAGCTGTCAACAATTAAGTGAACATTCAAAATTGCCGAGCTTATCGGCATGAGAAACAGGCAAGAGTACCAACATAACGCCACAAGAAATTCGATTATACGTAACCCGCGAAAACTCAAAATTCGCGATACTTTTTGAACACACCTCATATCAGGCAGCCAACCCAACGCGGCTTTTTTAGACAGGCTCGTTTTCATGCAAAGCAGTGCACCTTTCGTCAATTTTCCCTTTAATGATTTCTTTCAGTTACACTAATATTGCGGCGTACTATCTCCATAACATAGAAACATCTTTATCTTTATAATAGATGAAAAATATTCTTTCTGTTTCCCGACGTGGCTGTTGTCTTTGCCGAGGTGTGAACTTTCTCGACACATATTCTTCGCTCACTTTACTCAGGCCAAGGACAACGTGCAGAATTTTAATAATTTTTTTATTGGAAACTCGAACCATTTTTCGGAATTGTTTTTTTTTTTAGTTAGTAGAGCTTTGTCGAGGAGTATTTTTCTAACTTTTTGGCATGGTCAACTCGATGCCGTTTCTGCACAAAAGTCGCCGTAAACAAATGACATCCTTTTCATTATCGTCTCATCTGATTTTGATTGCTTACTAAGGAACTTTATAATGACACTATGTTTATTCGATTTTCCGATATTTCGCTTTTCTTTCCCTTGGTTGACGATAGCTCAACAACAATGAAACCTGGTACGATGATTACGATCCCCCATGAGCTTAATAAACTACAACCTACTCATTCTGCGAACATAAAAAAGCTCCCTCTTATTTGTTATTTCAACAATATTTCCTAGTAGTACAAAAGGTTCTTGACCTGTGAGTCAAGATATTATAGAATAGCTACTTTGGGTACCAGTGATTTAGATTTTAATTAAATAGCTATTTTCAAATTATATTGTTGTACTTATAAACTTGAACACATACATTTATATGTTTGACTAAATGCCGTATTTTTTTAATATTATAAATATAAACTATATATACATATGTACAGCATGTTACTACTTACATACAAAATTGATCGTCGTATTAAGCTTTATCAAAGCTATATCTTTGCGGTGATTTTTGGTCTCAAACTCCGGATGAACGACGGGTCTTTGTAGGGGATCGATGCCGAAATCCAAATATCTCTGGCAAATACCACCAAAGCAATCCTCTTTAGTTGATCTTCTATGTTCGCCTAGACGCACAAGATGCCTACATAAGTACATACATACGTCGATATGTGTGAATGCATGTGAATATAAGAAATAAAAAAGCGTGTTAATTTGTAGGATGTTTAAATTAAAGTCCACATATTTTTCATTATTTTTAAGGACAAATTATAGTCCAAATAACAACAAAAAATAACAATTTAATCCCCCATCACAAACAGTCAGTAAAGTCTTTGTAATGCAAACTTGATTTGAAGAACTTAAGCTATCGCACTGATTGTGAAAAGAATTATGTAAATCTGTGGCCAATTTCAAATCGAGTACTAGTTCCAAGTTTAAATGCTTAAGATATAATTTAATCTTACATAATTCAGAATTCAGTTTGCAGGGTATAAAGAAATACATATATATATGCATATATATTCCTTAAATACCCACTTGTTCTCGGAACAGCTGCACGATGTTTTGTTAATGAATTTAATCTTGCATTTACGTATTTATAAAAAAAAGTACTTATATACTCACAAATGGTCCGTAATGCAATGTGCCGCAGTCAAAACAAAACGATCTGTTATTACGGACCCACCGCACAAAGGTTCCATTCGCGCATCAAGTAGTATTGCCATCCACGGGAACTCTCCCAGAACAGCGTTTACAGCATGCGCCACGCGTACGTCATTTACTTTACCGCAATTCTGGTTTAGTAATGACAAGCCGTAAGGATGAAAGTCCTTTTGATGAAAAGCATTGTGATTTCTGTCATCATGAGTGGGGCTATTATTGGGCGGTTTGTATTCATAACTGTGGGGCCAGAAATTATATTTTTTTGTTGTAGTTGATGTTGTTGTTATTCTTGAAGGCCGTCGCACGTATTTCATTCGTGGGCAACAAATAATCATTCCAATCTATACAAAGAGAGAAATACATACATACATATGCACTAACTACGTATCACTTCTTCTAATATTTATAATCCTTACAAGACCAGATTTTCGACAGTCTTTGTTATCTAACATTTCCCATGTCAAGCTACGGTCCTTTAGAGTTTCACATGATCCAAAATTTTGACAGTAGCCAATATAGTCCTTTTCTTTGCAAACATAATTAGCTTTTAAAGAAAGAAAATAAAATTTTTGAATATAAATTATTTGTTATTTCTGAATCAACTCACCAAATATCAAATTCAAGTTATGATAAAAAATAATGGCGAGCCAAGTAAATTTTACAATGCGAAGACCCGCCATTTGATCAACTGTTCAAAGAAAGTGCTTAGAAGAGACTGATTTGGCTTAGCTTATCAAGCGATCGTTGAGTGAGCTAAAGTAAAAATTTAGAACAAGAAATCTCAGCATATTTATATACGCTCAAAAGATCGGTATATTTGTGCGACTAGCACTTGCAACTTGCAGCGACGATTAGAATAATTCGATTAATCGATCGTTTAGTTCGAACGTTTCGTTATAAGCAAAAATGTCACACTTAACTTAACAAAAATTCGTCAAATCTGCTCTGAATATACCCAAATCCTTAAACAACACTTTGAGAAATTGAATAAGAAAGTTAATATCTACTATATTTCTTTCTGCATTTATAGAAAATTAAATTTTAGAAATTAGTTTCGGAGTGGTCAATGGCGAAACTGAAAGTTTTTGACATCAAAATGCTTTGAACGGAATAGAACTTACTGTGTCGGACTACACCTTTCAAAGAAATTTTTTTCAAAATCAGTGATTTCAATGCTCGAATTTCCTGATGTAATGATGAACTTAACATGGAAATGAAAATAATTTGTTTTAGTAGAACTTTTGCTCAAAAACATGCACAACGTTGAAGTTTTCGAAGAATCTAATGGTTATTTTGTGAACGAATTGCTGTGGTTGCTAAGAATTTCAAGAGAGTTGTGAAAGTAACAATATTCAGGGCTTTATAAGCTCTTCTTTAGTATTTCGCATTCCTCCCCAACTTAGGAGCCTTTCGACCTTAAAAATTATTTTGATTGATTTCCGCCTTAATTTAATTATCCGCAAGAATATTTCATTTTGAAACTTAAGATTTTCATGTCTGTATCTACTCGTTTGTGGATTCTAATACCCAGTTTCTATGCTTAACTGATTATTTAATTGAACGATTATTTATGAACGATTCAAGAATCTAAAAAATGGTATGATAATAACATAATAATATAATATTTGATCAGTAGAAAACATTAAATTGTTAGTATATTTGAAATATATTGAAATTGAAATTTTCTTAAAACGTTTTTTATTCGAAGAAATTAATATAGCGATAGTTTTCGGTACTTTCTTTTTACTCCAAAATCAAATTTTTTACAGTATACCCTATTAAATACATTCATTTGCATATATAATATATCTTTTTATCGAAATAATAACATTTATGCTAACTTAAGCAAAATCACAACAAATTTAGATTTATTTTTTCTAAAAAAAATATCGGTTTTTATTTTTAAAATAAAAAAATAAATCTTTAGCACCGGCGAACCTAATCGAACGGATTTTAAGACAAAAAAAATGGTCCTGATTATTTACATGCATTACTTCGTCTTGTTATCTACTAGGATAAGTAGAAAAGTAACGCAGTCCCAATTTTAAAGCTTTCAAATTTTTAAGTTGTGACAATAATAGGTAAAATTATGGCAATCGATCAATAATAATAATAGAATCAAATTACTTGAATATAATCATGATACAAAAAAAAGGAAGGTTTCACTCAATATAAAATTGACAGAATAAATATTTTTGATATTATATCTAATTTTCATTTTAACTTCAAGATATTTTCACTTTAAAAATATTTCATGTATTTTTTAATAAAAAAAAAAATGTCAATGCACAACCTTAGAGTTTTTTGTGAGTCCGTTTAATTTTTCCTTGTTTTTATTTTTGCTTACTTTCAAAGGTTTTTCATTTAATTTTTAATAAATGACATTGGTAGCACAAAAATAAAGCAAAAGTTAAGAAAACTTTTTAAACCACAAAGTTAATATTTTTGAAAAAAAATATTGAGTGAAACTACTTTGTGTTTTTAGTATCATGACCAAGGTTTATAGAATACACCAACTTCATCATATATACAGTGGGCGGTACTAGACATTTATATAATAAAAATAAATAATTTTTCTCTTAAAAAAATGTATATGCATGTAAATATTATTATACAAAAGAATACATAAATCATACGTACTAAAAATTGCCCTAAAGTTAGCAAACAACAAGCAATGATGCAAGGCGTGGGCTGTTTTGATCAAACCAGGGCGCAAGTGGCCGAATACCACCAAATTTGACTAAGAGATTTACACAAAAGGCACCGCTGCAGTGGCGTTAATACGTAAGAAACTACCTTTTTTAAACATTACTTCATCCAGTGTTATCTATCCGTTGAATTCAAGTTTTCTTAATGCCAAGACTTCAAGTTTTGGAGCGGTTAAAGAATATAATACAATATCGCATTTTTTTTTAATTTTTCATTAATATTATATAAATCACTCACATAATTTTTTTTTCAAATTTTTTTCCACAACATTCCACTTTTCACAAGATAGGGCTCATCCATCTCCCAAAGCATTTAAATTCGTATTACATGACACCGAAAGAAGAATTTTTTATCAAAAAATTATATTTATTTACATAATTTGATCAATTGACTCAATTTCTTAAAGTTACAATACATTTGTTCGGCATTAAACTATTCAGAACGTTTTGATTTTAATTGTTATTAATTTAAAAAAAAAAAAACAATGTAAGGTTTTGTTGATTTAAAACCAAAATATTACGCTGTTCCATAAATAAAGTTATGCAAATTTTTTTAAATTTTCGTCAACCCACAAATTGAGCAACTTCGGCATTAAACAACGTAACCTGCTGAAACTCGGGTCTAGAAAAAATCAGCTACTCATCCATTCTCATTGCAGCTTGCGTCATGTTCATTTGTATTCTTAAGAAAATTATGAATTATGTTCTTCACAAGAAAAGCCACACAAGTTCTTGTTTTCAGTTTTGTTTGACTCGAAATTCAATTTTATGTACGTCACGAGCTTTTCCTTTCAATTTCACTGATTCAATGAATGTTTTTGCTCATAGCTTTCCAGAAGTTTTTAATCAGCCTCCACTTTGTCTGAAAAGGGGTTTAAAAAATATTTTTACACAACTGTACCACTTAAATAAAAACTAAAAAAATGGTATGAACGCAGATATACATTTATAAATACGATCAGAAAATATCCGTTATTTTCAAATTTCGTGAGTTACGTATGCTCGATTTTCGTTTTTTTCCGTTATGTTGGTACACATGTCTGCTACATATATTGGCAAAGTCAGCCATTTTAGATTGTCAGTTTGTTTTTGACAGATAAAAAGGTTAGTCGTGTTTCGGTGTGCTCTTCGATTTTTTACTATTTTGTAAAAAATGAAATTAAATGCCCAAAGGAATTTGAAATTCAATTGTGGTATAACCGGTTTAAGGAAGGCCGATAAGATGTTAATGACAATGCTCCTCCTGGTCGTCCGGTTCGGTCAAATGTGACGGTTTCGCTCACTGTTTACTTCGACTGGAATGGCGTGGAGCATCATAAATTCTTGCCACCAGATCGAACGGTCAATAATGAATACTACCTAAAATTTATGCGCCGTTTGCGTGAAGCAAATCTTCAGAAACACACCGAATTGTGGAGAAAACTATCATGGATTTCGCACCATGATAACGCACCAGCTCACACATCGGTGCTTGTGCGTGAGTTTTTTGCCACAAACAAAACCGTATTCATCGGACATTTACATATGTATGTGCATATGTATTATTAGTGACGGCAACAAAAAATCAACATAGTAATTAACGGCTTATAAGGTTGTAAGAGGTCAAATGCCTGCACCACGAGTATGGTATAATATTCATGTTCAGTCGTATGCAACGAAATTTAAGTCTTAACTTCTAATTTAAATTTATGAGTAAAATTAGCGTAAAAACCTCCAATTTGAGTTTTAATCAATATGATTTACAGACATATCTGATTTGACTTATTGTAAGCACTTAAAGAGCAGAACTGTTGAGGGAATTATTAATGTTGACTGATATCAAAAGGATGAACCAAAACTATTTGAGATCTCATTTATGCATGCCTAATAACACTAGTTTAAGACTAACGATAAAATATGCTCTTCAAAATTTTGTTTTAAGGTCTCAATATACTCGTTTCATTTCTTTATTTATCTTAAAGGATATTGTTCAAAAATTTCATGTTGGGAGACCATAACACATACATACAAATGTATGTACATTTTATAGTACATTAATGAGAGGGATGATAATTATCAAGTTATGATTAAAGCTTTCTATATTAAATTAAGACAAGAAGCTCAGAAATTTTTTTAGATTTTTTAGGCTTAATTTTATTCTTGACTTTCTCAGCAACTCCCGAATACGTGATATTCCTTTTTTTTGGAATAAGCACAAGCTTATTATTTAAATTAGCAAGTCAATATGTATACCTATAAACAAATGTATGCCATTTATATGCATATGAACGTATGTATCATATGTATGTGTGTACATTTGAAAATTTTATCAGTGACATTTCGTGGAATTAGAAAGCTTAATCTGTGTTAATAGAAATATGTAATATAATATTGATTGCACTTATTTACATGTATAGAAGTGCACGATTATATGTTATCATATGCATAATTCTAACAGCACAACTGAAAGTGTTAATTGTGTGATAAGGTACGAGCATACGAGGAAGCTTAAACTGATTTGTTTACAGCCGGTGAACGCTAAAATGAATGGAAATCAAATAAAACAAAATACTATTTAAAAGTGTTCGGTGCATGTGAAGACGCATAAAGGGTTATTTTGCAATACACACACTATTCGTGCCGGGATGGATGGGCCAGAATTCCTCCTGAATTCTGGAGACGGGGATCGTAAGACAGGGCCGAATCTTCAGGCAATCCTCAAGCTGAAAAAGAAATAAAAACCTTCTCCAACAAATAAAGAGTAAGAAGGAAAATCTTTAGTTTATGTTCGACACAGATTTATTTTGAATAAAAGGGCAGCTGTACATGTGAAGAGGGATTTATCACAACTTATTCTTACCTGATGTTGCTGCTGCTGAGGTCCCGCAAAAAAAGAGAAGTTTTGGACGGCAACATCGGCCTTTCATGCCTTCCACAGAAGGTGGAAGGTGTAACGGATCGTTGATTAACAGGACCCTTCCCAATAGGGATGCAGCAGCGACATCTCCTGTGGTAGATTCTGGCTTTGGTGCAGGGTTGCATACTCAAACACACACAAAAAAATAAAATGTTAAAAATTTATTTTGCCAGAAAATGAGCTGGATAAATTCATTCAATAAAATCCCGAAAAATTTACCAAAATTACTTAAGTGTATATTATTTATTTTTTTGAAGGTGTTTTCAAAATTGAAAAACGAACTATAATATATTTTTCTTGGGAATAATATATTAAATATACATCAACTAGAGAAAACTTGGTAGCCTGAACGATGTTTGTAATAATAACAACAAGAAAAAAGATTTACCTCTTTTATAAATGAATTATTGAACCTGTTGGGAAATAAATGTCAGTGCATCCAAGGCTTGTAAGAATTGGCCTTTGCAAATCGTTGAACCCTTTTGTTACCGGTGGCCGATATATCGGCGCTCACGAAAAGTGACATAGTATATATATCGGCACCCACTATTCGGTCCTTGAGAACTTTATCTCAAAATAAATTTGTAAAACGTTATAAATGATGTAAGTTCACCAGGAAAAAAGCAGTTTTTAGTTTTTGCTATAATACAACATTCGGCATCCGCTCTGCTGCGTAAATCGCCATGGCGTTGAGTTGTAAATATATTTTATTGCGTTAGGTGATATTGTTTATCTGGTTGCAAAACACGGTTAAAATGCAAAGTATGAACTTCATACGGATTAGTCTATGATGAAAAGATGAGTTTTTGTTTGTGCAAATACGTTTTGTAATAGAGAACTCAACTTTTATTTTATTTATAAATATTTATATCTTTGTTATCATATATATTTTTAATGTGTGCATAAAAACTAGTATCAGCTTTTTTCTGTATTTCATTCCAAATATACTGCTTGTTGAAATACGCACCCAACAAATATGCGATTTGGCCCGAAGGACACCCTGTCGTAAGAAGTGACTGAAATCCATAATAAAATAATTCTCAGGACAGTCGGGTCTTTATAGCGGGAACATCCGGACTTTTATCCGTCCAAAGACAGTCACTCTCGCAATATTCCCCGAAGACCTTTTCGGTTACAACAACACAAATGTTTTATCCAATAAAAAATGATAAAATTGTTCAGATTTATTTGCGTTATACAGTTGCGAGTCCGAAATATTAACTCCTAACTTTTTGTTCAAAATATAGAAACATTTTTTTTTGTTTTTCTAATTCTTTTTAATGTTTCATTTCTTCGAATTAGTGAAATAATAAAGAAAGATTTTTTTAACTATAAAAAGGCACTCATAAAACTACAAAAAATTCTTTTTAAATTACTGTACACTTTTTTTAGAAGAAAACAAATTTGAGATTATGTTATGCGAAATTTTCAGTCCTAAATATTATATATCTAATTGATGATTGTATTTTATTTATGATGTGCAAACATATACCAAACTTCATACATACATACATATATCAAGATGAGGAAAACATACTTTACTTACATGCTTCTGACCAAAGAAAATATGTCGTTCATTTCATTTTCGTGGAAGGTGTAAATGTTTATTTTCATTTACTATATATAAAATTTCTAAAAGAAGATGAGGGCATGGTTTTCATGAATGAAAATGTTTTTGTTGTTTCTAATGCTGATTTCATTTTCAAAGGTAGTACATACATATTTCATAAGTACATATGTATATTTAAGGATTCTTAGAGTATCAGGAGTTCATGAAAGTAAAGAATGTAAAATATTTGTTATTTGGATTTTATGAACATCCTTATTTTCCAAGTCAAAAACACGCACATACATATGTATGATTGTACAAACATACATATGACATATGAATTTCAATTTTTTTTTTATTTTTGAAATTTGAGTTTTCGCGTTTTTAAGACATTTTCATATAATACATACATATATTCGTGTGTCTGTATGTACATACGTATGCTAGAATGCGTAAAAAATTATAAATGTGTTTGAAAGGCATATTCAACTCTTAAATTGTATATATACATAGAAAACAAAACCACAACAAAGCAAGGAATTTTCACTTCACCAGTTAAAACGGTTCCTTAGACGTGAAATAAATCAGCATTCAAAATACCATAACAAATTACATATGAATTTAGGTGTTTTACGAAAATTAAAACGTGCGTAAAATCCATATACATATACATAAGTATTTCTTCTTTCTTCTTTTCATGAAACCCTTATACTATAAGAGTTTTTAAAAGCATACATACATAGAA